GGTGAGAGCTAGCTGTTCACAGGACCCCTTACCTCTTCATTTTCCTTCCTCCCACCAGCTGCTGATGAATACGCTTCTTCCCAAGCCCTGAAAAGGCTTTTTCTTTCTTTTGATCGTTCCAGTCTTCTTCCATAGTGTCTTGGCTCCTGTTGAAATACACACAGGGAAAAAGCATTTCAGCAACGGTACCTTCAGTTGTTCTCAATGTCTCTGTTAATCTTTCTTAAAAATGTTTATTAAAGTATAGTTGGCATTCAGTATTATATTAGTTTTGGGCATATAACATAGCGATTCGACATTCGTAGACGTTGAGGTGTGATCGCCACAGTAAGTCTAGTACCCATCTGTCACTGTGCGAAGTTCTTACGCTGTTATGGGCATTTTTTTCTGTCTTGTACACGACCTCCCGCGCTTTACTAATTTTACTACTGGAAGTTTGTGCCTCTTATTTGCAGCATTACAGTGGGAAGGAGGTCAGGACACATAAAACTGTTTGAAAGCAAAGGTATTTCTATTCACCTGGGTTGTCTCCGTACTTGGCAAAAATTCCAGCACATCTTGTCTTTTTGGTTAGCACACTGGCATCTGTTCCCCTGGACTGTTGCTTTTGTAAGAAATGAGTCCTCTAAGGATCGCTTGGCCCTAGGAGGTTTTCCAAGTCCATATGGAACAAGTTTCCTATTATCAAAAGAGAGAAACAAAAGACATTAGCGTTACTCATAGTCTTCAAAATGCTGCATTCTATGGAGTAAAACTCCTTCCACTGGGACACACGGAGCTCACCACGTGCCGTCTGGTAGTGGGACTTAGAGAGTGAAGTGTGACATCTCAGGATCCCCTGTCTGACAGCGGCCCTGAGTGCGTATCCCCAAGCAGGGGAGACCAGTTTTTCTAATTCAATTAAATTCCATTTCAACTCCTAATAAAGTTCAATTTCTTCTCGGCACAAGCAGCATTGTTTTTTGTCCAAAATTATGACACCTTTGCTTTAGTATCTGTTTCATTTTGTAGTTCCTTTTCTAACATTCTATCTAGTTAACAGATATGGGGTGGGAGGAGGGACTTCAAAACCATATGAAACCATGACTCACAAGATTTGGAAAACTCATTTTCAATTCAGGTCCTACGATATTGCTAGAAGTGCCCCCTGAGGGGGTAGGAGGAGACACGCCACACCCAGGCTGGCATGTCTGCGATTTGGTGATGTGACTATAGGAGGACTCCTGGCCAGAACGATCCCCAGCAATTTCTAATGTGTTTGTTTTGAGTCTCGATTAAGAAATACAGTCCTCCCCTCTGAAGAATCGCCCACCTTACTAAGTATTGGGCTTGTGGAGGTTTTTATTTAATTTGATCTGATTTTGTTTGGATTTGGGTCACCCCTCACTGCGCTGGGACCCTGCAGGCACGACTGCTTCTGATGGGTGAACTGGTTGTCAAGGGGAAAGCGGGGCAGTGCCTTCTTCACTCTGGAGGCAGAAGAGAAATCTAAGGACAGGACCGTGTTTCTATTACTGTCTTGAAATGGGCTTTTCTAATGGCAAAGTACAGAGGAGTCAGGACACCGGGACCTAAGTCCAGCACTGCCACAAACTCATCCCTGCACAACTGACTTCAATGCTTCAGCTCTCAGTTTTTCTACACATGAAATGAAGGGACTGGATTATGAATCTTTATGATCTCTTCTGCCTCTTAAGTTTCTACCCTCCCATGAGAAGCCACCTGACCTTGGCAACTTAGTCCCTAAACCCAGGCAGATCCCACCAAGAGAACATTCCCCAAGGCCCCATACTTAAAGTTTCTTCTCAGAAATGTGGAACAGCCTTCTGTTTGCCATCAGTTCTGTCCTGTCATGAATAGCCTGAGCCACAGGTCTCAGAAGACCCTCCCCTCTGTTGCTAAGAACCAAGCTGTCTTGTTCTTTTCAGGAACAGGGTAGGGGCGGGGGGACCACTGTCCCCACCCAAGGGGGCATTTCCATGCTGTCAGAATCCAAAGCAGGACCTTCCCAGGAAAGTAAGTCAAGTGAGTAACTGGGCTCCCATCTCTGGTGAAACCAGAGCTACGGAATGACTAGGGTTACGATGCCCTCTAGAGACTCACCCGGGAGTGTTGATCCAGATGACATCGAGGTGGCAGAAGTAGACACACTCTTTATCCAGCAGGGTAGAGCAGGAGCAGCGCTTGGGACGGCGGGGTGCACTGGGAAAGGCCTCCTCTCCTCTGCTGTCCTCGTAGGTGCTGAGCTCGGTGCCCAGGACGGCTGGGGAGAGAGACAGCAGGTCAGTGGGAGTGTCCCCTTGGAGGCCAGGGGCGCGTTGCATCCCAGGACTGACGCCAGGTCCAGCAGAGCAGAGCAGAGCAGAGCAGAGGAAGCCTGCAGCCTGCCTCAGCAAGAAGCACAGAGGAAAAGGGCTCCTTATTTCTTCCCTCCGCAAGGCGACCTCACCTTTACCCCACGCCTTATCAACCTCGGGGAGACCGCGCGGTGCAGAGGAAACCACCCCCTGGAAAGGGGCCTACCAGCCCCTCCCAAGCAACCTCCCCGGACACGCGTGGAAAAGCTGCCTCTTAGAATCTGGGCTACTGCATGGAACTTAGTAAGACAGACAGCACAACCTACGGTGGCTTAAAACTGACTGATGGCCAGAGGGCTAGAACTAAATAAACCACTCTGCCTCTTCCTAGGCTTGGGGCCACTTCTCCTTTGGTTTAGGGGACTATCCACCACTTCACATGTGTGTAGGGCAGGGAGTGGCCCAGGTGATATATAGCCCTTGAAACTAGGAGGAGATCAAGAGCTTTGGGGAGATGATTGGAGGCAAAGAAGAGAAATCAGCTCTTCATATTCAATCCAGGCCATCGACTCCACAGGAACCACTGACCTAAGGTGACGCTGAGCAGCAGCTCCGGGGACCTAGTGGAGGTTTGGGGGATGTTGACTTCAGAACCGCAGAGCAGCCTGGCATGTGTGGGATCGCCGCCTCCCCCTCCCGCTGCAGCGCTGGCTCTTCCCGACCAGTTAGCCACGCAGCTTATCTGCCCAATTTTGTACATTTCACATGATCAGACACATTCCAGAATTTTCAATCCCTTGACATCCTTTCTCTTTACTCAGGGTCATGAAAAGACAAAAAAAGTGCACTGACCCTAGAAGGGGGGACTGGGCAGATGTACTCGTCCTCTCTAAATCCTTAAGCAGCCAAGATTTATCCCAGCGTCCCTCCCAGGACAGGTGAATACAACTGAAAATAGAGCTCACACTGTTTTGGGTGCCAAAAATCTGCCAAAGGAAACCTAAAGTCAATAATGACAAATTTTAAAGAAAACATCTGCTTCGCCCTGAAACCGCCTGTGGGGGTATTCAACAGACTGTTCTGCAGGTGACTTTACCGCTCAAATATTGCTTGAATGTCTTGAATAAAATTCCTTGGCTTCAAACTGAACTGTTTAAATATTTTACACATTAACACACTAATAAAACGGTATTTGAATAACATATTCGTTCCTGCGCATCCTATTACCTGTACGAACACATACATTGCAAACAGACATTTGGCTAAATTATATCACGTCTTTATGTTTCTTTACGTTAAAAGTCAAGGAAATACTCTATGCAATAATAACAATGTTATTTTAATGCTAGAGTAGCAATTGCATTCAATAGTGGGATTTTTTTTTTCTCCTCCCCAGTAGAAAACTTCAGAAGCTTTGAGTAATGATTCCCAGAGACTGGATATCTGAGCTGCAGAAATAAAAAAGGGGAAAAACAGAAGCAAGGCAAGCACGAAGGTGGGTAAGAAAACATGTAACGCTCAAGAGATTTACAAACCACCGCGCCTACCTGTTTCTGGAGCTCCTTGGAAAGCCACAAACAGCAGGGAGAAGATCACGGGGAAGTAATCCATTCTGAAAACGGGAGGCAGGATTCCCTGCGAGCTAAACCCGAAGGAAAAACTCAGAGAAGCGGCTTCGGTCTCCTTGAAGCGCTCCGGGCTGTTGGGCTCTCCGAGCGCT